CCCACGCCATGACACTACCACCACCATGCTTCAATGATGAGGTGGTATGCTTAGGATCATGAGCAGTTCCTTTCCTTCTCCATACTCTTCTCTTCCCATCACTCTGGTACAAGTTGATCTTGGTCTCATCTGTCCATAGGATGTTGTTCCAGAACTGTGAAGGCTTTTTTAGATGTCGTTTGGCAAACTCTAATCTGGCCTTCCTGTTGTTGAGGCTCACCAATGGTTTACATCCTGTGGTGAACCCTCTGTATTCACTCTGGTGAAGTCTTCTCTTGACTGTTGATTTTGACACACATACACCTACCTCCTGGAGACTGTTCTTGATCTGGCCAACTGTTGTGAAGGCTGTTTTCTTCACCAGGGAAAGAATTTTTCGGTCATCCACCACAGTTGTTTTCCGGGTCTTTTGGTGTTGCTGAGCTCATCGGTGTTTTCCTTCTTTTTAAGAATGTTCCAAACAGTTGTTTTGGCCACGCATAATGTTTTTGCTATTTCTCTGATGGGTTTGTTTTGTTTTTTCAGCCTAATGATGGCTTGCTTCACTGATAGTGACAGCTCTTTGGATCTCATCTTGAGAGTTGACAGCAACAGATTCCAAATGCAAATAGCACATTTGAAATGAACTCTGGACCTTTTATCTGCTCATTGTAATTGGGATAATGAGGAATAATAACACACACCTGGCCATGGAACAGCTGAGAAGCCAATTGTCCCATTACTTTTGGTCCCTTAACAAGTGGGAGGCACATATGCAAACTGTTGTAATTCCTAAAATAAAGAGAAACAGCGCAAACATAGACCTCTAAATAAAATCAATATACAAAGTGCAAACATAAATGAAAAATTAATCAATAGTGAAGTCCATCAAGATAAACCAAAGTTCAAAAAATATCAAAAAATATTTGTGCAAAAAGAAATATTTTCAAATTCTTCTTCTATTATAAAGGAACTTCCACCTTCCACCCGTGAAAACCAATATCAAATGCACTCACCAGATATAGGTGAATAAAACGCCTCTTAGGAATTTTATGGGATCCTAAACCCTCTTTCGTATCCACTCTATAGGAATCCTCCTCTCCAGCATAGGCTCCACCATCCGACCAGGGAGAAAAAAAAATCTCAGATAGTGTAATATTGTAAGACACCATTCATAAGTGAAATCAAGGATTAAGGCCACTCACATTAAATTCACTTTAAAAAGGCATATTTATTAGGACCAGCTTCTTTCAGATGAACAGTAGATGCAAGGCAACCTCCCACGGAATCTCACATCACAGCTCCAGGTTACCAAACTGCAGACCAAACTGGTAACCTGGAGCTGTGATGTGAGATTCCGTGGGAGGTTGCCTTGCATCTACTGTTCATCTGAAAGAAGCTGGTCCTAATAAATATGCCTTTTTAAAGTGAATTTAATGTGAGTGGCCTTAATCCTTGATTTCACTTATGAATGGTGTCTTACAATATTACACTATCTGAGATTTTTTTCTCCCTGGTCGGATGGTGGAGCCTATGCTGGAGAGGAGGATTCCTATAGAGTGGATACGAAAGAGGGTTTAGGATCCCATAAAATTCCTAAGAGGCGTTTTATTCACCTATATCTGGTGAGTGCATTTGATATTGGTTTTCACGGGTGGAAGGTGGAAGTTCCTTTATAATAGAAGAAGAATTTGAAAATATTTCTTTTTGCACAAATATTTTTTGATATTTTTTGAACTTTGGTTTATCTTGATGGACTTCACTATTGATTAATTTTTCATTTATGTTTGCACTTTGTATATTGATTTTATTTAGAGGTCTATGTTTGCGCTGTTTCTCTTTATTTTTTCATTATTTGTGTTGATCACAGTGCACAGCAGCAGGATAGAACCTGTAGTAGAGTGTTTCACTAGGCGCAGGAAGAATTTTTAGTTTTGTTGTAATTCCTACACCGTTCACCTGATTTGGATGTAAATACCCTCAAATTAAAGCTGACAGTCTGCAGTTAAAGCACATCTTGTTCGTTTCATTTAAAATCCATTGTGGTGGTGTATAGAGCCAAAAATGTTAGATTTTTGTCGATGTCCCAATATTTATGGACCTGACTGTAGATCACTTCTCCATTTTGATGGCAGGGGTTTCTTTACAGGTGTGAGAGAAGATAAATTCCACACCATACAGTGATAGGTGCTTATGGGCATTGGTCTCCTGTTGTCACTGCTGTCACTGAAGACCCACCTTCCCATCAAAAAGGATAATGAACCTCCCAGTTTACATACATAAGACTCTCTAAAAACCAGGATTTGATTTTGGATTCCTGTACAGTTTTGGTAATCTTTTTGGGGCTAACAGGACGGGTGTCACGTACCTTGGTTGAAGGCTGAGTTGACGAGAGGGCTTCTCTTGCGGCTCTGGTCTGAGCACCCCTGAATGTGGTGACAGAGGTACAAGGCTCAAAGAAGCACAGATGCTGAATAGCTTGATAGCAGGTGATTGCTATGGTCAGAGATATAGTCAAGGTGAGCCAGAGTCATATTCAGTGAGACAGTAGCATGGTCAGGAGGCAGGCTGGGGTCAGTACCAGGTTAGCAAGCAGAGCGAGGTCCTGTAGCAAGCCAAGGTCAGCACCAGGAGATCAGGCAGGGAATAGTCAGAGGTAAGCCAAGGTCAACACCAGGAGATTGGGCAGAGAGTAGTCTAAAGGCAAGCCAAGGTCAGAATCCAGAGCAAGGTCAGGAGCAAGCTGGGTCAGAAACGGAAGATCAGTCAGTACAAGCAGGAACATGGATCACAGGAAGCTGATGAACATCCAGCGATTAGTACATAGCAGAGTCTTCTTTAAATAGGCAGCTTGGCACCAGTGCGGGAATACGTGCATGCAGATGCGCAATGATGCATAGAAATGCGCCTACGTGTCAGTGCATGCTGGATATTAGCCTGGGCTTGTCTGTGTGCTGGTACACGTGAATGAGCATTAGCTGAAGAAGAATTAGCATGAGCTGCAGAAGAATTAGCATTAGCTGCACTAGTTTCCTGATAATGGGCCTGTTCTGTTTCATCCAACACTATGCCACTAGTGGTGCTTCTGGCATGACAATTTTCCCCCACTAGCTGCCTCCTCTTCAGTAATTCTACTGTAGATACACCATCTATCTCATCTTTAGGTACGCCTGCCTTTTATAGGTCCACCCATATATGCTTCATAGAGAACACTTGCTTCTCTGCCTTCCCTTTCTTCTCTGACCTTTCCTACTTACTTTACTCTTGTTTGCTTTTTTGCTTTTACCCTGTCTACTGCCCTTTACAGGTTTTATCTTAGTCTCCTCTAGCTCCCCCAACCGGTTTAAAAGTGTAGTGGCCTCATTCATTTTTCTATTTAATCCCAGGCCTCCGAGCGAGAACAGTAAAGAAGTCCTAAGATGAAATGGTGTAGACTTTATCATATTCTGCAGAGTAGGCATGAAGGGTTCCATATCTGAACCATCCATTCTGGGATCTAAGCTAGTCCAGTTATACAACCCATCTCATGTAACCAAACAATACCTTCAACCATCGTTCTTTATGAAGAGGTACTGTATTTTCCAGGTCACTAGGACTAGCGTCTGTTTCTTTTGAGGACTAAGAATTAAAATATTACAGCAAACTCTCAGGCTTTCACATGGCCCGACAGTTGTGAATCATGTATTAATACTTCCATCTTTACTGGTTCCTTCTCTGATAATAAAACACTGTCCGCCCCTCCATCACACAGACAAAGAAGCCAACTCAAAAGTCATTCTCCAGACATTAGTTTGTATTGCTTTGCAAGCTCCTGGGGTTCAATTTGTGTAAACTTCCTTTAATTCTTCAAAATCTACAAAATCTTGTAATCCTAGTAGTGTATTAACAAGCTTTTACTAACAAGTTGACCTTTGTCTTTGAATTCCAGACAATTCTTCTGTCAGTTATGGCTGCAATCTTTCTTGTTCTACCTGACCTTGGCTTGGTATCAAGAGATCCCCGAACTTTCCACTTCTTAATAGTTGATTTAACAATACTGATTGGCATATTCAAGGCTTTGGACATCTTTATATGTCCTTTTCCATCTTTATAAAGTTCCATTACCTTGTTACGCAGGACTTTTGACAGTTCTTTTCTGATCCCCATGGCTCAGTATCTAGCCTAGTCAGTGCTTCCACGTAAGAGTTAACAAACTCACTGACTATTTATACACTGACACGAATTGCAATTTAAAAAGCCACAGATGTGGGATATTAACCTCTAATTGGCATTGTAACCCGTGTGTGTCACCTTGTGTATCTGTACCAAGGCCAAACATTCCAGGGTATGTAAACTTTTGATCCGGGCCATTTGGGTGATTTCTGTTATCATTATGATTTAAAAAGGAGCCAAACAACTATTTGATAAGAAATGGCTTCATATGATCATCATCCTTTAATAAAAGGGCATTTTTTTGGCATGATTAGTCATATTTTCAATATCAATGCCAAAATTTCACAATTTCTGCCAGGGTATGTAAACTTTTGAGCACAACTGTAGGTCTTTTTCCCTTTGCAAGAAGGTTTGAAATTTTGAAAGTCTTGATCCTTGATTTTGCCCCAAAAGGATTTTGCCAAAAGGGGAACCAAAAGGAATAATTGTCAATTACATAATCTATAAAGAGAAATCAGGGTAGTCCAGACAGGTTAGAGGTCATAATCAGAAAGGAAGACAGAAAACAGAATACCAACAGAAACCTCTTGCTCTAGAGCTGCCTTATTTCACTGTATAAAATCTGTATCTGCTGCAATGTTACAATTCAAGCGAGGCTTCTTATTTGGTGCTATGAATACCACTTTCCTTCAGTTTTAATATACAGTAAAATGACATCTGTTTTAGCATATTGTTACAGTGGTAAAAACATTTGACATACATTCTCTGTTTATTTAAAAATCTTTCAAAGTTGTTTTGGGCATCATGTGTTACGTTATATGTAGGGAGAGAGGTATTTATATATTTAAATTGATATTTGTATGTTCCAGAACAGAAAATATTGGGGAAAACATAATAGCAATATTGCTGGCCATCTGTGTTTCATTTTTTGGATTTTTGCTTCTGCACCAAGGCCTCTTCAAAGACATTTGGATATTCCAGTTTTGTGTTGTTATTGCAAGCTGCCAGTTTTGTCTTCTAAAGGTAGGAAAGGCATTCTACTTTATTGTGCTATATTATGTGATCAGTAGAGATGAGATAAAAAGCAGAGGGATATTTTTCTGATTGCGATGATTACAACTGTGGACCATGCTTGCATAATGTGCATTGAAATGGCCACTTGTAGCCACCATCAGAAACCTGTGTGACAGGAAGATAATACAGGAGCACAAGTGAGAGAGAACAGAGACAACAGAGCCTTGACACCCTGTAACAGGAAGTCCCTAAACTATGAACTTCTTGGCAGGATCACCAGGTATTTAAAATTATTAAAATCCCTTTTGAAATTGTATTTGAAAACTTTATATTATTATATATCAAAAATTAAATTTCAAATTAAAACTACTACAATTAATGATTAGGTTTACATCTACTTTATTCCATTGAAGGTTAAAGAGTATTGTAAAACAACCAACCCATTTCTTATTTATATATATATATATATATATATATATATATATATATATATATATATATATACTCAGCATAAATGAGTACACCCCAACAGATTTGTCAGAAAACCTTTACTTTCCTTTCAGAATCAACATTTTCTATGGGTCCCGATACTACAAAATACTTCCACAAATGCTGGCCATTGATTGCAACCAAGATTTGATTATTTGCACACACAAAAGAGTATTTTTCCTAACAAATTCATTCAAGACCATGTTGCAAAAATGAATAAACCTCAGTGAACGTCATAGGAGCAAAGCTAAATTTAAGAGAACAAAATCCTAATTAACAAGAATTCAACTACAGGTGAGTCTAATTATTCATTAAACAGGTGTCCAGCAGACAGTTCATTATAAAAGGATGTTACTTTACAAAGAAAACACCTTCCCATTTCATGTTGTCAGCAATGGCAGTACATGAAACAGAAATGTCACAAGGCCTAAGAAAGAAAATCATTTCTTTACACAAGAAAGGAAAGGTGAAGGCTACAAATAGATCATCAAAGCTTTACTTATCAGTCAGAATACTGTAGCAAAAGTGATACAATTGATTTAACAAAGATGGAACTGTAACCATCTCACAGAGACATCCAGGCCATCCACGAAAGTTAACACCTTGACAGGAGCATCTTCTGATGAGAAAGGTTGAAGAAAATCGCCATGCAAGTTCACTGCAGTTAGCTAAAGAAGTAGAAAACCAACCTAGGGTGATTGTTTCCTGCGGCACAATACAGCTTACACTGCAGCGGAATGACATGCATGGGTGTCATCCACGAAGGAAGCCTCTCCTAAATCCCAAGCACAAAAAAGCCCACCTAGAATTTGCCATGGCCCATGCTGAAAAACAAGAAGACTACTGGGACTTTGTACTCTGGAGTGCACTGTTGCATTTCTGAAAAAAGAATAGGGTGAAAGTGATTCAGTGGCCAAGTATGTCTCCTGATATGAACTCAAATGAGCACCTATTCTGAAGAGACAAGTTGAGCATTACTCTCCATCCAGCATCCAGGCTCTAAAAGAGGTCGTTCTTGAAAAATGGAAACAGATGCTGCAATATGTCTCCAACTTGTTCATTCTGTACCTAAAAGACTTGGTGCTGTCATACAAAATACTAGATGTAGTCATTTTTGTTGTGGGGTGTATTCATTCTTGCATCAACTAATTTAAGTAAAACTGAAGACTTTGTAATACAAGTTACATTATTAACCTTACTTTCATGCAATGAGCTAAACAAATGTTCTATAAAACTCAGTTTTGTCAAACTTTTGTGTTCATTGAGTTTTTGATTAAAATCTTACTTTTCAAAAGGGGTTTACTCATTTATGCTGAGCACTGTGTATGCATTTATATATATATATATATATATATATATATATATATATATATACACAGTATCTCACAGAAGTGAGTACACCCCTCACATTTTTGTAAATATTTTATGTTATCTTTTCATGTGACAACACTGCAGAAATTACACTTTACTACAATGTAAAGTAGTGAGTGTACAGCTTGTATAACAGTGTAAATTTGCTGTCCCCTCAAAATAACTCAACACACAGCCATTAATGTGTAAACCGCTGGCAACAAAAGTGAGTACACCCCTAAGTGAAAATGTCCAAATTGGGCCCAATTAGCCATTTTGTCATGTGACTCGTTAGTGTTACAAGGTCTCAGGTGTGAATGGGGAGCAGGTGTGTTAGATTTGGTGTTATTGCTCTCACTCTCTCATACTGGTCACTGGAAGTTCAACATGGCACCTCATGGCAAAGAACTATCTGAGGATCTGAAAGAATTGTTGCTCTACATAAAGATGGCCTAGGCTATAAGAAGATTGCTAAGACCCTGACACTGAGCTGCAGCATGGTGGCCAAGACCATACAGTGGTTTAACAGATAGGTTCCACTCAGAACAGGCCTCGCCATGGTCCACCAAAGAAGTTGAGTGCATGTGCTCAGCGTCATATCCAGAGGTTTTCTTTGGCAAATAGACATATGAGTGCTGCCAGCATTGCTGCAGAGGTTGCAGGGGTGGGGGTCAGCCTGTCAGTGCTCAGACCATATGCCGCACACTGCATCAAATTGGTCTGCATGGCTGTCATCCCAGAAGGAAGCCTCTTCTAAAGATGATGCACAAGAGAGCCCGCAAACAGTTTGCTGAAGACAAGCAGACTAAGGACATGGATTACTGGAACCATGTCCTGTGGTCTGATGAGACCAAGATAAACTTATTTGGTTCAGATGGTGTCAAGCGTGTGTGGCAGCAACCAGGTGAGGAGTACAAAGACAAGTGTGTCTTGCCTACAGTCAAGCATGGTGGTGGGAGTGTCATGTCATGGTCTGGGGCTGCATGAGTGCTGCCGGCACTGGGGAGCTACAGTTCATTGACAGAACCATGAATGCCAACATGTACTGTGACATACTGAAGTAGAGCATGATCCCCTCCCTGCGGAGACTGGGCCGCAGGGCAGTATTCCAACATGATAATGACTACAAACACATCTCCAAGATGACCACTGCCTTGCTAAAGAAGCCGAGGGCAAAGGTGATGGACTGGCCAAGCATGTCTCCAGACCTAAACCCTATTGAGCATCTGTGGGGCATCCTCAAACGGAAGGTGGAGGAGCGCAAGGTCTCTAACATCCACCAGCTCCGTGATGTCATCATGGAGGAGTGGAAGAGGACTCCAGTGGCAACCTGTGAAGCTCTGGTGAACTCCATGCCCAAGATGGTTAAGGCAGTGCTGGAAAATAATGGTGGCCACACAAAATATTGACACTTGGGGCCCAATTTGGACATTTTCACTTAGGGGTGTACTCACTTTTGTTGACAGTGGTTTAGACATTAATGGCTGTGTGTTGAGTTATTTTGAGGGAACAGCAAATTTACACTGTTATACAAGCTGTACACTCACTACTTTATTATTATTATTATTACAGTATTTATATAGCGCCAAAAGGGTATGCTCAGCGCTGTACAGTAGCAAGGGGGAGAGAACATGAGACAAGACAGTAACAATACAATCCAAAAGGGGTTCGAGGGCCCTGCTCTTTCGAGCTTACAATCTAGGACTTTACTTTACATTGTTTCAAAGTGTCATTTCTTCAGTGTTGTCACATGAAAACATATAATAAAATATTTAAAAAAATGTGAGGGGTGTACTCACTTCTGTGAGATACTGTGTGTATATATATATATATAGTTCCCAGCACAGATAGAGAACTGACCACGGTGTGCTCTTCTATGTGATCAGTTTTTAATAGGAAAGCAGACAGACTGGCAGAACCAGGGATTTCACACAAAGGAAGCAATACAAAGAGAACAGGATACTTTTGTCATACAAGTACATGGTACAGCAGGCACATATCAGGAATATGAAATGTTCGGTTTACATATTCTTTAAGAGAATGTGATCAACTCAGATACTTGATGCCATGATCCCATAGCTGATCCAATGTTTTGTCTTGAATGTGTGGGGTTTTTTTTCTATATTGGTATCGATATTGATACTGGTCTGTATGCTTCGGTCACACATAGCAATTTAGTTGTGATCGCTTCTCTTACAAAGTGTGTACAGAGAAAGTGTAAAGGAATTGTTTATATCATGTTTCTGTGCATTAGGCTTCTTTCACATGGGCAGTTGTTCTACCGTTTGTAAATGCATGTTTTTTTATGTTGAAATTCCAACACTCCTGATACAGAGAGCACTTGTATTTGAACTTTTTCTTTTATCAGCGATTGCATGCATTTACATGGCGCTCCATTTAGCTGCGGTAGTAAATTCTTGCCTTGTCTATAGCAGCAATTTACTTATTGCTATTTACTGCGCTCATGTACAGATAGCTGCAGTACATTGCTCCTGGATGCTATCAACTTTATTTCTCCTAAACGCACAAAACAGTATGTTGTTAAAATGTTGCAAAAGGCAATGTGTGATCAGTGCCATAGGGATGCATTGTCTGAATTTAGCTGTGGTAAATAAGTTCTTCTATCCGCAGCTAAAAGCTGAATTCTAACAACCCGTGTGAAAGGGGCCTTACTATATATTTTATATAATGCCTAACGAGTTCAAGGAAATTAATACAGATCTAGACAAATAAGTGAATTGTGTATTTATATAATCCCTTTAATTAAACACTACAAAAATAAAATTATTGTTATCATGTTTACCATAAAAATGAACCTAAAGGATAGAAATATGAAAGCTGACATTGCTGAGGCAGTCTGACCACCAAAAGTCTGAAAATAGCTGACCTGCCAACTGCATGACCTCATGTCTCTAGTTTCTGCCTTTGTCTAACTGCATTGTATGTCATCATTTAGTTGACAGGCAGCAAATGTTGAGATGTCAGTAAGTAAAGTCAAATAAGAGTGAAAAGTCAGCCTGTACCAGCAGGACTGCTAGATTTACCATTAGACCCAACGTCTCATCATCAGTAGATCAAGTGTCTTCTCATAAACATATCAATGCATTAGTGCACATTTTTACGTGATGTCAATGAATCTGACTTTCAACAAACATCTACTGCTATAAATATTCCCCAATGTCACAATATTTTGAGCTAGATGGGTAAGAGTGGGAAAAGTCCTGTGTAAAAGAAATATTCTAGTAGCCTAGTAATTAAATGATGGCCCTATGTACAAATGTAATAATTAAATAAATTATGTTTGCTGCATAAGTGCAATGCTGACAGGCTCTCTATATTAGGTGACTAGCTAGAGCAGGCATCACTAAATGGCGGACCGGGTCTGGATGCGTACCGAGTCACTGTCCCTTCCGGACCCATGCCGTCCTGCCATTTAAGAGCCTTTTCTTCCCCTAGCTGTCTCACAGTCATCCTCACAGAGCTTACAGTGGGAAGTAGGACAGTTCTAGATGGAGGTTGGGAGCTGCCAGAGGTTAACAAGCAGGTGATTGGTTGCTAGGATGAAGGGCAGTCCTAGCAATCAATCACTGTCTGTCAATAACTGTCTGTGTAAGGTAGGACAGTGGAGGGGGGGGGAAGGTAAAGGGGCTAAGGACATTAGTGTGAAGGGGGGCCGAGGACTGAATGTGGGGGGGAATAAGGACAGTATTGTGGGGGGCTAAGGAGTGTGGTGTGTGGGGGCTGAAGACATTGAAGTGGGAGGGGCTGAGGACAGTAACATGTACAGAAACATGGAGGGGGGCTGAGGACGGTAACATAGGGGGTTTGGGGACAGTAATGTGGGGGGATAATTTAAAAAGGGGCAGAATAGTCTTCAGTGAAGGGGGCAGAGGACAGTACTGTTGGGGGGGTTGATGTCAAAGAAGTGTGAGAACCCTACTGTGAAAGGGGTTGAGGGGGTGATGTAATGGGGGAGCTGAGGAGACTCATCTAGAGGGATCTTGCTGTGACTGAGGAGGGAACTGTAATGTTCAGTAGGGATTGAGGACACTGATGTGAGAACAGATTCAAATCTGTACATGTGCATTTGGTGCACACATTATGTTTTCTAGCACTACCTGCTAGAAAACTGAAGGAGTCCCCAACCCTTTTTTTCAAAATCGCATCGCAGCAACACGTGGTTTGTGGCACTTGAGAATGCACCACAGGGGCCTACATGAGATTCGGGCCTCTGATGTATGCAAATTTGACCTTGGTGAATTTTAATTCAATACCCCTGGTCTAGAGCAAGCATGTCAACCTGGTGAATTTTCGCCTGCACATGCTCCCTCTTTTTGGCTCTTAGTGATTTAATGATTACAACTGAATAAGGCCCCAGCTGTCCTCCAGCTGATAAAGGATAAACTCCCCTACATGTTTTGAGTGCAGGAAAACTTTGATGATCCCGACTTATAGGATAAAATGTTGCAATTATTACTGTTATATTAACTTCCAAGTTCTTATAATATTTTTCTAGACTTCAAGTGACTCTGTCATGGGGAAAAATATTGGGGCTGCCATTACTGGCCTTCACTAATTACTAACCTTTGAACGAGTGGTCAGCAATGGCAGCCTTCATGATTCTGTTAGGGTTACTTTAAAAAGCCATCGCTCTCAGTATATATAATGTGGCCCCACAAATACTCAGTTCATTCCACTGTTTCATTTGAATTTGACACACCTGATTTAGATACTATATCCAGGTACCGCTTGAAAAATAGGCCATTGTATTATTTTCCTAAAAACAGAATCATAACTCTGTATGATCAAATATTTGTACACTATGTTGTATGTTGGTGTCTCAGATGTTATCAAGCAATTGTCTTTTTCTTTATCTAGAGCGTACAGCCGGATCCTGCATCACCGGTTCATGTAAGTTTTGGTTTTGATGACACCATTGCTTATCCACTTGCCGTTCTACTGCAATACATTTCCTGTGGCAGGTTGGCTCGTACAGGCACAATCACGTACCTGTATGTCACGGCTTTCTTCCAGGTCCACACGCAGACCCGGAAAGCTGTGCTGTCATTCACTGCAACACAAGCCAATCAACGGGTCTCTGCCAATGATTTATGGCCCGAACCTGCTGATCGGTTTAGAGAATGACCAAAGAAAGCCCTGTGTTGGTAAACAACACAGAGCTTTTTTCACACAGCAGCAATGTGCTGTCTTTTTTCCCTGCAAATCCAGCACATTGCTTAGTAGTAGTAGTAGTTTAGAAGTACACACAGTAAACATTGTTAAGCAAACATTTACCCCTTGATCACTGTAGATGTTTACCCTTTCCTAGCCAATGTCATTAGTACAGTGACAGTGTTATTTGCACTGATCACTGTGTTAGTGTCACTGGAGTGTCAGTGGCAGTTAGCCAGTTCCCACTTATTGTAATTTAGTGTCAGATTGCCCACCGCACATTTCCACTGTAAGTCACTGATCGCCGCTATTACTAGTATAGGAAAAAAATTGAGTATCTATACCATAGTTTGTAGACACTATAACTTTCATGCAAACCAATCAACATAAACCTATTTGGATTTTTCTTTTTTTACCAGAATGCCTTTTAACCAAAATTTATAAAGAAATTAGATTTTTAAAAATGTTTTGTTGGATATGTTTTATTTAGAAAGTAGAAAATACATTTTTATTTTTTAGATTTTGGGTCTTTTTTCGTTTATATCGCAAACAATAAAAAAAAACCCTGTGGTGATCAAATACCACCAAAAAAAGCTCAATTTGTGTGATAAAAATGATATAAGCTTCATTTGCGTACAGCATTGCATGACTGCGCAATTACCATTTAAAACAGTGCAGTGTCGAACAGCAAAAAATGGCCTGGTCATGGAGGGATTAAAATCTTCAGGAGCTCAAGTGGTTATTTTGGGTGTATAATCGGTATTTTGAGTCATCCCGTAGTAAATTCTCCGCAATAATTATTTATGTATAGTCTACAATCACCTAACGGAAAACTATAATGGTTGAAATCAAATTTAACTTATTTTTGTTCCTTCAATTGTATGTATGTCTTTTATATGTGTGACTATAAATTGATATACTGTATAATATATATACACACACACACCTTTTCCCTAGTTTTTCACAAGTATTTTGAAGTTAAATACAACAAGTGTATATATATATATATATATATATATATATATATATATATATATACTGTGTATATATATGAACATTCTTAAGGCTCAACTAAAATACTGGAGGACATGTGTATATTGTATTATGTCAGCAAGTAGTTAAAGTTTATATGAAGCCAAACATTTTTGAAGTTTTTTTATACTGTACATATACTGTAGTTAGAAATGGTAACTGTGGTTAGAAACCCTTGCACCCAAATACAGTCAGGTCCATAAATATTGGGACATCAACACAATTCTAACATTTTTGGCTCTATACACCACCACAATGGATTTGAAATGAAACGAACAAGATGTGCTTTAACTGCAGACTGTCAGCTTTAATTTGAGGGTTTTTACATCCAAATCAGGTGAACGGTGTAGGAATTACAACAGTTTGCATATGTGCCTCCCACTTGTTAAGGGACCAAAAGTAATGGGACAGAATAATAATCATAAATCAAACTTTCACTTTTTAATACTTGGTTGCAAATCCTTTGCAGTCAATTACAGCCTGAAGTCTGGAACGCATAGACATCACCAGACGCTGGGTTTCATCCCTGGTGATGCTCTGCCAGGCCCCTACTGCAACTGTCTTCAGTTCCTGCTTGTTCTTGGGGCATTTTCCCTTCAGTTTTGTCTTCAGCAAGTGAAATGCATGCTCAATCGGATTCAGGTCAAGTGATTGACTTGGCCATTGCATAACATTCCACTTCTTTCCCTTTGGTTGCTTTTGCAGTATGCTTTGGGTCATTGTCCATCTGCACTGTGAAGCGGCGTCCAATGAATCCTGAAGCATTTGGCTGAATATGAGCAGATAATATTGCCTGAAACACTTCAGAATTCATCCTGCTGCTTCTGACAGCAGTCACATCAATAAATACAAGAGAACCAGTTCCATTGGCAGCCATACATGCCCACGCCATGACACTACCACCACCATGCTTCACTGATGAGGTGGTATGCTTAGGATCATGAGCAGTTCCTTTCCTTCTCCATACTCTTCTCTTCCCATCACTCTGGTACAAGTTGATCTCGGTCTCATCTGTCCATAGGATGATGTTCCAGAACTGTGAAGGCTTTTTTAGATGTTGTTTGGCAAACTCTAATCTGACCTTCCTGTTTTTGAGGCTCACCAATGGTTTACATCTTGTGATGAACCCTCTGTATTCACTCTGGTGAAGTCTTCTCTTGATTGTTGACTTTGACACACATACACCTACCTCCTGGAGAGTGTTCTTGATCTGGCCAATTGTTGTGAAGGGTGTTTTTTTCACCAGGGAAAGACTTCTTCAGTCAAACACCACAGTTATTTTCCGTGGTCTTCCGGGTCTTTTGGTGTTGCTGAGCTCACCGGTGCGTTCCTTCTTTTTTAAGAATGTTCCAAACAGTTGTTTTGGCCACGCCTAATGTTTTTGCTATCTCTCTGATGGGTTTGTTTTGTTTTTTTTCAGCCTAATGATGGCTTGCTTCACTGATAGTGACAGCTGTTTGGATCTCATCTTGAGAGTTGACAGCAACAGATTCCAAATGCAAATAGCACACTTGAAATGAACTCTGGACCTTTTATCTGCTCATTGTAATTGGGATAATTAGGGAATAGCACACACCTGGCCATGGAACAGCTGAGAAGCCAATTGTCCCATTACTTTTGGTCCCTTAACAAGTGGGAGGCACATATGCGAACTGTTGTCATTCCTACACTGTTCACCTGATTTGGATGTAAATACCCTCAAATTAAAGCTGACAGTCTGCAGTTAAAGCTCATCTTGTTCGTTTCATTTCAAATCCATCATTGTGGTTTATAGAGCCAAAAATGTTAGATTTGTGTCGATGTCCTAATATTTGTGGACCTGACTATATACCTAATGCAGTCATAAATGTAATATAAAATGACTGATGTGCCCTGAAATAAGTGCTGTTTTTTCTACCTTTATTTGGTGTGATTTATTCCCTGTGCTGTGACCACAATCATCTTCCCTTCCGATCCTGAGAACAGCTGGTGGGCATGCCTCGCTTGCAGCTCTCCATCACTCAGAAGCAAAGAATGGCTTATGGGTGTGAATGAGAGGATGATTGCTGGAGATGTTTCCCCTGGCGGAGCTCTCTCATGAATGGGGATACTTGTGTGTCCTCATTCCTCACAAAGCATGTGATGTCATGGACAGGGAAGGGACAGGGCAGGGCTGGGAGAACGAAAACTGACAATGGTATGAGCAAGTGTCTATGTTTAGCCACATTTGTCTGCACAGGGCAAACGTTGTTCGTAGAATAGAGGAGGGTTGCCAAATGTCTGGACTGGAATCTGGTTTCCAAACAGGCATTCAGCAATCTGAAAAGTGGTTAATATAAAAGTTCATTATATTTCTCCAATAAATAAAGGGGAGATTTTTATTTTTGACTGGAATTCCACTTTAAATCTTGTTGGATTGTGTCAGAATTTTTATTTTTATTTTTTTGCTGTTTTTTTTCCTTGGACAAATTTCCCTTCAGTTCTTGCTTCAAAGACAAAAGATGGTGTGGGAGAAAATCTATCTAAAGAAAAGGTGAAATATTGATTTTCCCTGTTCTGGTGACGATTGTAAACTTTTTGATTTCCCGTCAAAAAAATTCCATTGATTTCCCATCATTTTCTTCCTTATGATAATGTACAGATACTGTGGAGAGAGTGAATTTCTTCAGTGGGGACACAAAAAAAAAAAACCTGTCTTCCTTGTTCGTAATAGTCGCAGTCTATCAGGTTTTACAGTCCTATGTTTCAGTTAGAGGGATATCCCCTCACTTATTGTAAAAGAAGTTATGGGAAATATCTCCAACAGACAAAAACAAAAACATATTTTAGTTGAGTGAGTAATAGCTAGAAATTCTTGAAATGCTTGTTTTAGCCTTTGTGCCTTCCTTTTCTAGTGATAAAATCTTAATTTGTTTGTACTGGCATCACATGGACAGGAAATAAGACAATTTCTGCAATAGTAAATTCTTTCCCTCTTCATCCAACACAAAAATGTAGCTTGATTTTCAAATTGCCCATGGAACCTTGGTGTGGAATTTTTTAAATCAAAGTTTTATCTTATAAACAATCTAGTTTTATGCCATAAGCTATTAATATTGTGTTTGTTTCTTTTTACAGGGGTATAACCAGATCATTACATACAGCAGACCAGTTTATTTTTGTATTTTATGTAGTGTTATCTTGCTGCTAAATGCTGGTTCTGAAGTAAAAGACTTACATTTACACACACTGTATGGATTCCATTTTTTGTCTCAAGAATGTTTTCAGAATATCAGAGATCAAATTATTGGTGAGTTGATTGTAATGTCTATGTTAATATTGATGTACACATGGATCCCCCGAGTTAGCCTACACTTTGCAGCTATAACAGCTTCAACTCTTCTGGGAAGGCTGTCCACAAGGTTTAGGAGTGTGTCTATGGGAATGTTTGACCATTCTTCCAGAAAGGTGGGCCAACTCAATATTGAACCCTAAATACTAAGACCTGGATGCCGTTAAAGTTCATGAGTGTCTAAAGGCAGGCATCCCAATACTTTTGGCAATATAGTGTATATATACAGTACATATTATATTGCCAAAAGTATTGGGACGCCTGCCTTTACACGTACATTAACTAGCTGCCGACCGCAGATAGCCGAATGACGGCTGCACTGCGGCCGGCCAGTTCTGAGTGGACGTCATATGACGTCCTCCCAGAACGCGCTCTCCTGCACGCCCCAGGGGGCGCGCACCCGGCGATCTCCGTGATCGCTGTGTCCTACGGACACAGCTGATCACGTGATGTGGTGAAACGCCAATCACAGCGGCCTTTTACCACGTGATCAGCGGTGTCCAATGGCATGCTGATCACAGGGAAATGCAAGTGCCGGTTCTCGGCTCCACTTTCCTCACGCTGTCAGATCGTGAGGAAAGTACTGCCGAGAACCAGCAGTTGTCAGAGCGGGGATCGGCACCGATCATCGGGGCACTGATGATCAGTGCCCTGATGATCGGTGCCCAGCAGTGCCACCCGCAAGTTCCGCCCACCTTGCCCAGCAGTGCGCCCACTAGCTCCGCCCACCTGTGCCCAGCAGATCACCCAGCAGTGCACCCACCTGTGCCCAGCAGTGCACCCACCTGTGCCACTCTGCAGTGCCACCTACCTGTGCCCAGAAGTGCCACCTACCTGTGCCCAGCAGTGCCAACCACCTGTGCCCACCCACCTGTGCCCACCAGTGCCACCCACCTGTGCCCACCCACCAGTGCTGCCCACCAGTGCCACCCACCAGTGCAGCCCAGCAGTGCTGCCAGTCAGTGCCACCAGTCAGTGCTCAGGGGTTGTGCCAGTCAGTGTCGCCAGTCAGTGCCCAGCAGTGATGCCAGTCAGTGCCGTCTATCAGTACCCATCATCAGTGTCACCTATCAGTGCCGCCTATCAGTGCTGCATATTAGTGCCGCCTATCCGTGACACTTCATTAGTGCTGTCTATCAGTGCCGCCTATTCGTGCCACCTCATTAGTACTGCCTATCAGTGCCCTTTAGTGCTGCCTATCAGTGCCCATCAGTGCCGCCTATCAGTGCCCATCAGTGCTGCCTCATCAACGCACATCAGTGAAGGAGAAAAAATACTTGTTTGAAAAATTTTATAATAGAAACAAAGAAACTTTTTTTTTTTTTTAATTTTTTGCACTTTTTTTATTTATAGCGCAAAAAGTAAAGTGCCCAGTGGTGATTAAATATCACCAAAAGAGAGCTCTATTTGTGAGAAAAAAATGATCAAAATTTCATATGGGTACAATGTTGCATGACCGCGCAATTGACAATCAAAGTGCGGCAGCGCTGAAAGCTGAAAATTGGCCTGGTAAATAAGGGGGTATAAGTGCCTGGTAGGCAAGTGGTTAACTTTCATGGTATCCCAGTCTGTCCGTAGGATTCAATATTGACCCTTTGCAGCTATAACAGCATCAATTCTTCTGAGAAGGCTGTCCACAAGGTTAATGAGCGTGTCTATGGGAATAATTGACCATTCTTCCAGAAGCGCATTTGTGAGGTCAGGCACTGATGTTGGACAAGAAGGCCTGGCTCGCAATCTCCACTCTGCCCAAAGGTGTTCTATCAGGTTCCGGTTAGGATTCTGTGCAGGTCAGTCAAGTTCCTCCACCCCAATTCGCTCATCCATGTTTTTTTGGACCTTACTTTGTGCACTAGTGCGCAGTCATGTTGAGACAGGAACGGGCCATCCCCAAACTGTTCCCTCAAAGTTGGGAGCATGAAATTGTCCAAAATGTCTTGGTATGCTGATGCCTTAAGAGTTCTCTTCACTGGAACTAACGGGCCAAGCCCAACCCCTGAAAAACAGCCCCAGACCATAATCCCCCCTCCACCAAACTTTACACTTGATACAATGCAGTCAGGCAAGTACTGTCCTCCTGGCAGTCGTTAAGCCCAGACACGTCCTTCGGATTGACAGACAGAGAAGCATAATTTGTCACTCCAGAGAACACGTCTCAACTGCTGTAGAGTCCAGTGGCAGTGTGCTATACACCACTGCATCCAACGCTTTGCATTTCACTTGGTGATGTAAGGTTTGGATGCAGCTGCTGACCATGGAAACCCATTCCATGAAGCTCTCTATGCACTGTTGTTGTGCTAATCTGAGGGCCACACAAAGTTTGGAGGTCTTTAGCTATTGACTCTGCAGACACTTAACGACTTCTGCGCACTGTGCACTTCAGCATGTGCTGACCCCACTCTGTCATTTTACGTAGCCTACCACTTCGTGGCTGTGTTGCTGTTGTCCCCAGTTGCTTCCACTTTGTTATGATATCACTAACAGTTGACCGTAGAATATTTAGTATCAAGGAAACTTCACAGATGGACAGGTGGCAACCTATCACGGTACCACACTTCAGTTCACTGAGCTCCTGATAGTGACTCATTCTTTTCACAAATGTTTGTAGAATCAGTCTGCATGTCTAGGTGCTTGATTTTATACACTTGTTGCCATGGAGGTGATTGGAACACCTGAATCCAATGATTTGGAGGGGTGTCCCAATACTTTTGGCAATATAGTGTATATATGCAAATGTTTTAGGCAAGGCTGTAAATTAGAATGTTTTCAGAAATAGAAATGTTAATATATTTTATCAGTTGTCAAAATGGAAAGTAAATAAACAGACGAGAAATGCAAATCAAATCAATGTTTGGCCTAACCATCTTCTGCCTTCAAAACAGCATCAATTCTTGTAGGTGCAATTGCACATAGTTTTTGAGATACGCTCAATGATGTTAAGATCTGGGCTCTGTGGTGGCCAAATCCTCACTTCCAGGACCCCTTTAGCTGTCTTAATGACATTGGTTGTATGTTTGGAGTTGAAGTCCTGCTGCAGAATAAATTTGGGGTTAATGACATGCCTCCCTGATGGTATGGCATGACGGATAAGTATCTACCTGTACTTCTCAGCATTGAGGAGACCATTGATTGTGACCACATCTTCAACTCCATTTGCAGAAATGCAGCCCAAACTTGTAAGGAACTTCCACCATGCTTCACTGTTGTCTGCAGACCGCTCTCCAGCCCTTCACGAACAAACCTGCTACAGCCAAATATTTAAAGTTTTGACCCATCAGTCCAAAGCACCTTCTGCACCCCAGTTCCTATGTTTTTATGCATAATTGAGTCGTTTAGCCATGTTTCCATGTCAGAGGTATGTCTTTTTGGCTGCAATTCTTCCATGAAGACAACTTCTGGCCAGACTGCTCGGGACAGTAAATGGGTGTACCTAGGTCCCACGGGTTTCTACCAGTTCTGTGCTGATGGCACTGCTGGACATCTGATGTCGAAGACAAGTAAGCATGATGTCAATCCTGAAGTGCAGTATAATATCACAATAAAAATCAAATATATATGTATTGGCTGAAACACGCACTGGGGGCAGAGACTTTAGTGCTGTGCTCACACTGCTGCATGATATCGGTCAGCATTGGATTTGTTATATTTGAGTTACTATGCGAGTTACATCAATTTTGCATATATATATTGGTCTGTTTGTTTGGCATGCTATGTATGTGATTCTCGTGTTGCAATAAATACTGCGCTATTACTATCTTTGCTAGCTCCTGTGTGAGCTTTATTTACTGCTACTTGAATAAGTGCTGGGAATAGGAGAGGAGAACACTGTGGACTGATGCATAGGCTACACTGGATGACATCTACCTATGATGACATGTTAAGCTTGCAACACATTTTGCAGCACATAGTGTGAATGCTCATTTTATGAGGTGGTGGCTGGTGTTTCCTTATATTGGAACTTTCTTGCACTTTATTGGTACTTTTATACAGATATACCTTATTTTATTGTGATATTCTGCTGCACTTTAGGATTGATGTATTTTTATTTATGTTGATTTTTGCACTTTATATAGATATGTGACTAATTGCTGCACTTTGTAATAATTGTTCCATTCTGATTGTGTGGTGCTGCAGTTGATTATCTTTATGGTTCCATAAGGTTTTTGCATATCAACCTGTCTTCTAGCAGCCTCTTTTATCACAATGCAGACCTTATATTAGATACTTGAAGTAAGCATGATGTGTCATTCATCATCTGCATTAAGTTTCCTTGGCTGACCATTACGTCTACAGTCCTTAACGTTGACTGTTTTCTTTATGCTTCTTCAAAAGAGCTTGAACAACACATCTTGAAACTCCAATCTGCTTTTAAATCTTTGCCTGAGAGAGACCTTTCTTATGCTGTATAACTTGTCTTGTTGCTATGCTCAGTCTTGCCATGGTATATGACCTGTGACATGAAACTGTCTTCCACAGCCTCACCTTAGTAGCAGAGTTTGGCTGTTCCTTACCCAGTCTTAAGCCTCCTACACAACTGTTTGTGTTTCAGTTAATGACCGTGTTTCAACCTACATATGAAAATGATAATCATTAGAATCTGCTTAGTATAATAGTCTGACCAAAGATTGATTTGATTTAGATTTTTAGTTCTATTTTATTTTTGTTCGCTCATACTGTATTTTGTAAACTGATAAAAATAAACATTAAAATTTATATTTTTAAAAGCATTCTTACTGTATAGCATTTTCTCGCACCTGTCTAAAACTTTTGCACAGTACTGTATATACTGTATATCTTTCTTTTTGTGGGCTGTGGAATCGTGTCATCCACTTACTACATACATTTTTAGCAAGCTTATTGTGCCTGCACTGTGTTTATGTGTCTGAATATTGTTGCACATTTCTCCCACTGTGTCACAGTGGAAACAGTATGCAACTTTGGGTCGTTTTTTTTCATGT